CAGTGGAGCGGCCTCCTCCAGGGGCGCTCTGTGGCCTCCGGTGGGTTCTGGGCTGGGCGTCTCCTCCACCTCTGTGGGCAGCGGTCTCTTCCTCCACGGAGAAACAGCAGCGAGGAGGGAGTGCAGCGGTCCCTGGGGGGTGCTGGGGGGTTCGGGATGTCTCAGTCTTGGGGAGGAGGAGGATTTTTTTGAAGCCCATGGTCACCAAGGGGCGTCCTGATGGTAGTTCAGACAACCCCACCCGTTCGCTTAAAAAACAAAAAAGAAAAGAAACTGGTCCTGCTGCTGACAGCTACAAACCTCCAATCCCGGAGTCACCTCGGGGCGAGCTGGGACAGGCCCACCAGCACGGCCACACAGTGGTCCTTCTGCTGCCCAGTGAGGACCTGCCATGTCCTCAGGGACACAGGGCAGGCACGAAGCGCGCTACCAGGGCTCCGGCGAGCCAGAGGGGTCCGTGCCTGGGCCCCGTGTCACCCTACCAGCCCAGACGCGGAGAAGCCGTGAAAGCTCCCACTGGGGTCCCAGCCTGGCTCCCATCCACGCACGATCACCCCTCACCCCCCTGGATGGCAAGGAGACGGCGGCCCACGCCGCCTGGCCCTTTTCGCAGCATGGAAGCGCGTATAGGTTGCATCTCTGTACTTGGGTCTGGCCCCCCTCCAGCCTGAGGGATTGGTGACCCTGCTCCTCGGTGCCCTGGCACCCGCCACCACCTTGGGCTGGCCCGTCTCCCTTCTTGTACTGGACCAGGGAAGTGGTCAAACTGGGCCCTCGGGGACCGTCCCAAGGTCAGGCCTCAGGGGAGTCGGATGGTGGGCTCGTCCAGCGGTCATCAGCTGAGGCCGCTGCCATTGGGAGGGTGGGCCATGAGGCGCGACTCCTCTTTGGGGGCTGGGAAGAGATACAAACAGAATCTTTCGTATGCTGGTAAGCGAGCCATGGAGGGCCCCAGTTTTGGAGGTCAGAAGGGTGGAGCCAGCTCTGGGCCGTGATTATTTTGGAGATCTATCTGGCAGCGCGTGGTGGCTGCACACCTGTATCCTAGCAGCTATTTGGAGAGCCGAGGCGGGGCGATGTGGCTCAAAGGTCAGAGTTTTGAAACCAGCGCTGGCGAGACCCCGTCTCTACCAAAAATAGAAATAAATTAATTTGACCAGACTAAAATGGGTATATATACAAAAAAAAAAAGAAGGGAGATGTTCCTCCCGCTGCAGGCTCCATGAAAACATAAATATGCTCAGTAGCATTACTTCTTTGGTGTGTCCAAATGCGTGGAGGGTTTCTTAAGCAGATTAAAACCTAGCAGGCTTGGGCCGGGGCCAGACACTCTGCATTTCTACAAGCCCCCGGTGCCCGCGCTGGCCATGGCTCCGACCGCCTTGCGCAGCACAGCTCACAATGAGGGGATCGGACTCTCTAGAAAATTTCTGAAGAGAATTTCACTCGCATCCCTAATTCCTCAGAGAGGGTCAGTCTCTGTGGAGTTGCGGGGCCATGACAGCAGTGGGGAGGGTCCCAGGCCAGCGCCCGCCCCACACCCCTGTGAGCCGGTTACTGCAGTGCCAACAGGCTTCTACTCCAGCGGGTCAGCTCATTCATCCAACAAAGAATTCCATGCCCTGATCCAGGGACTGTGGGTTTGGGCTACCAATGAGAGCTCCACGCACTCACCTGTGACTGAAAGAAAGGGTTGTCCTCCCGGCAATGCAGGGGGACTGGGCAGGCGGGGGCGGGGGCAGGCTGAGAAAGAAGTTCTTTAGGATCTGGGCTTGTGCTTGGTGATTTGGGGGGAGTTAAGGAAATGATGTTTTGCTGTGTATTGGATGCTGTCAGGAAGAAGGGGTAATGCTTTGAGTGGACATCCTACTAGGTCTTATCTATGACAAGGTCTATCAGAGGGAGGCCAAAAGAAGCAACCATCGCTCAGATTAGCTGGATGGGTAATGTTCAGTCATCTTTGTGGTGTGGAAAACCATAGAGTTTGTCCATGTTGAGGCATGGTTACGGACTGGCCTTGCTTTGTCTTGCTCCATCACGGTGACAGATGGCTTTGTCTCATGTTGATGTGCCATGAAACTGTGCTCAACTGGACCCCACCGAGACTGAGCTGTGCCAGGCTGGCTCTGAGCACCCACAGCCTGGCGGAGAGGATGGGGCCGCTCACGGACGTCAGGGCTGCTTTCCTCTTTCTCAGGGGGAAACTGGCATGCAAAACTAACAATTTCACATGTTCATGAGGCTCACAGGCAGAAACCCAGAAAGCACAGCTGAGGAAGAGGAACATGTGAAGGCCAGGGGCCAGGCCTGGATTAGGAAGGGAGCCCTAAGCCAGCCTGCCTACGGGTGGCCAGGGGACAGCCAGACCTGAGGTCTAGTGGGCGTCAGCCCCATGACAGCTTTCGAGAGGAGATGAAGAGTGTGTTGGATCCACATCACAGCTGGTGCAAAGGGCAGGAGGCCAGGAAGAGCACGGAGCATGAGAGGAACTGGGGTGTCCTCCGAGGCGCAGGAGAGTCCGGAGGGGAGGAGCAGCCCAGGAAGCTGGGGCTTCTCCCAGGGAGGAGGAGGGCAATCGCCCGTCCCGTGCTGAGATTGCCACCAGCAGCTGTGCTGGCATAAAGCCCACCCTGGCTGCCATGTGGAGGGTGGAGGGAGGGTGGAGGTGGGTGGCAGTGAGCCTGGAGGCAGGGAGACCAGCTGGGAGGTGGCCCAGCAGGATCCAGGGCTGGAGGTGTGGGAGGGAAGACATCCAGGAGGAACTTAGGGGAGAGAGTGGGACACACTCTGAGGCTGCCAGCAGCGGCTGGGGGCCCAGGCCCAGGAACACTCCCCAGTTTCTGGCTTGGGGAGGGGCGTCCTCAGCCTGTTTGGGGGCAAAGATAGGCGCCAAATGAGCAAAAGACGCCAAGGAGACCCCCAGTGCAGGGAGTTGCAGGAGGCAGGGCCTGAGGGGGCCTGTGCTCAGAAGAGAGGCAGTGCTGGAGGGGCAGGGAGAGGACACCTGGGGGTTGGGGCTTGGGGAGGGGGAGAGGGAGGGAGGATCAGGGGAAGGGGACAGAAAAGCCAGGGGGAAGGGAGCAGAGAAGAGAGATGTGCTAGATCATTCTGCTCCTAGGCACTTTATGTTTTGCGATGCTCTGTTTCCGTCTGAACTGAAGACTGAAGGGACTTCACTGTCCCCGTACATGTCTGTCCAGCTCCAGAGGATGAAGCCGAGGCCACACAACTGGTGCCCTCCAGGACCCCCGAGCCTCCCAGCAAGCCTCGCCTGGGGGAGCTGACCGTGGCAGACGCCACCCCCGACTCCCTGAGCCTGACCTGGACGGTCCCCGAGGGCCAGTTTGACCACTTCCTGGTCCAGTACAAGAACGGGGACGGGCAGCCCAAGGTGGTGCGGGTGCCGGGGCACGAGGACAGGGTCACCATCTCAGGCCTGGAGCCAGACCACAAGTACAAGATGAACCTGTACGGCTTCCACGGGGGCCAGCGCGTGGGCCCCGTCTCTGCCATCGGGGTGACGGGTGAGTGCGTGGTGGGAGCCAGGCTGGGACCCAGTGGGAGCTTCACCTTCTCTCTGCTGGTGGGTGAACGGGCCCAGGACGCCCCTCTGCTCGGCGGAGCCCTGGTACCCTTCGTGCCTTGCCCTGGTCTCCCTGAGGACTGGCAGGTCCTCCTGGGCAGAGAAGGACCCTGTGTGCCGTGCTGGTGGCTGTCCCAGCTCCCCCGAGGCTGACCCTGGAGCTTGGGCAGGTTTGCTAGCTGTCAGCCAAGCAGGACCACTCAGCCCAAGGGTAGGCTTGTCTGAACTGACCTCAGGACGCCCCTGGTGGCCATGGCTTCTCCCTCCTCCTCCCCAAGACTGAGGACATCCCCAGGGACCCTGCCTCCCTCTCTCTGTGCCTGTTTCTCAGCTGTGGAGGAAGAGACCGCTGCCCCCACAGAGGTGGAGGAGACCCCCAGCCCCCCAGAACCCAGCACGGAGGCCCCAGAGCCCCTGGAGGAGCCGCTCCTGGGGGAGCTGACTGTGACAGCGTCGTCCCCGGACTCCCTGAGCCTCTCCTGGACCGTCCCCCAGGGCCACTTCGACTCCTTCAGCATCCAGTACAAGGACAGGGACGGGTGGCCCCAGGCAGTGCGTGTCGGGGGTGAGGAGAGAGCGATGACCGTGGGCGGCCTGGAGCCCAGGCGCAAGTACAAGATGCACCTGTACGGGCTCCGCGAGGGGCTGCGCGTGGGCCCCGCCTCCGCCGTGGGTGTGACAGGTGAGTGAAGGACAGGCCCACACCGCCAGCGTTACCTCCTTGCTCTTCTGTCTTTCTCCTTTGGATCTTGGCGGCTCTCCCACCTGGGCCTCCAGGTGCCTGTCTTCTCCCAAATTTTGCTCTGATCCTGCCTCATGCTTGAATTGCCAGAGGATTGACAGTGACTGTGTTCAGAGTGGGACGAGCGTGTCTGTGCCCCACTCATTGTAGCTTCCTTTCCCCCATCGTGATCCAGAAGCTCGGAGTGGCTCAGTTGCTCACTTGCGGAGTTCCTGGGCCCCAGGGGCAGTTCTGTGGCTCAGGTGTGCTCCAGGGCAGGCTGCCAGGACCTGACACTGCCTTGACATGTAGCCACTGTGTGACTTGCAAGCGTTTCTCAGCCTCCCTGTGCCTCAGATCCCTGCAAAATGGGGGTGACAGAAATCACAGCACCTTGTCCTCTGTCTTGGGGGGCTGCTGGCGGCAGCGCTGGTGCAGCGAGGTGCGCTGAGCGCTCAGAAGAGGCTGCGGAGCAGCGCCCTTGGCAGCCTGGAGAACACCCCTCCCCGGGGCCGGCTCCCGCCTCCTGACCCCGGCCCTGCTGCTCTTTTCCAGCCTCCCTGCCCACTCGGGCCCCCGTGGAGCCCCGCCTGGGGTCACTGGCTGTGGCCGAGGTGACCGCGGACACCGTGCGCCTGCGGTGGACGGTGGCCCAGGGCCCCTTCGACTCCTTCCTTGTGCAGTACAGGGATGCGCAGGGCCAGCCCCACACAGTGCCCGTGAGCAGCGACCTCCGCACGGTCACCGTCTTGGGGCTGGGCCCGGCCCGCAAGTACAAGTTCCTGCTCTTTGGGCTCCAGGATGGGAAACGCCACGGCCCGGTCCCTGTGGAGGCGAAGACGGGTGAGCGGCCCGCGCCCCCTTGTGGCAACGGTTGGACGTGCACGTCTCCGAGCCCCGCACTCCCCGCCTCAGGACCCCTTTACTTACTGGGTCTCAGGAAACCCAGGCCCAGAGCTCCCCTTCCCCCGCTCCCATCCTTCTCCCTACGCTCCCACGCCCCAGGGGACACTTGCTTTCTGGCCTGGCTCCTCCTCCATCCTGACTCCTGGCCCGGTCACCCCTCCTGCTCCGTGGACCAGCTGGCAGAGCCACAGCAGCCCAGGAAGCTCAGTGGTCCCGCTGCTCCAGCACCAACACCCTCTGTGCACCTCGCTCCCTTCTCCAGCCCCAGACGCGAAGCCCTCGCCCCGCCTGGGGGAGCTGACGGTGCTGGACGCGAGCCCTGACTCCGTGAGCCTCTCCTGGACGGTCCCTGAGGGCGACTTCGACTCCTTCGTGGTCCAGTACAAGGACAGGGACGGGCAGCCCCAGGTGGTGCCGGTGGCCGCGGACCAGCGGGGGGTCACCGTCCCTGGCCTGGAGCCCTCCCGCAAGTACAAGTTCCTGCTGTTCGGCCTGGCAGGCCACCAGCGGCTGGGCCCCGCCTCTGCCGAGGCCACCACAGGTGAGCCCCAGTCCTGCCTCCCGCCTTTCCAGAGCTGCCTCTTGCCCACGCCCCGCTGGCCCTCGGCCTTCCGGGTCCGTCTGCAGCCCAGCTCTCGCAGCGGAAGCCAGTCCCTGCAGTGTGCCGGGCGGTTCGGAGCATTGCGTGCACTGTCTCCTTCACCCGCGACTGCTCGTGAAGGAAACAGAGCCGGGCTCCGGGGCCAAGCAGGCCTGTCTTCAAATCCAGTGCCAGCCCTTGCTGGCTGGACCACCAAGGACAAGCCACTCGGTTCCCCTGACCCTCGGCCGCCTGACCTGCATGTGGTCATCAGGCATGACCACTGGCACACAGCGGCGATCCCCTCCCCCCAAGCTGTGGGGCAAGTGGTGGAAAATAAGGAGGCCTTGGCTACAGAAAGATGATGGAAAAACCTGGTGGTGTTGTGCCCGTCCGTGACTCAGCCCCCTGAGGAAGGGTGTGGCGGGTCACTGACCCTTACCCCACTCCAGGACCATGAGTCACCCTGGCCAGGGGAGGACAGAGCAGCCAGCCAGTCAGGGCCGGGGCCCTCAGACTGCATAATTCTCTTCCCCACACCCTCGCAGGCCAGGCCGCCACCGCACCCGCCACCTGTGCGGGCCTCCGCTCCGCTGTGCTGCTTCCCCAGCTCTGCCCCATAGCGTCAGTGTGGGGCTGGGCAGCAGTGAAAAGGGTGGTCCACACTGCTGGCCACGGCGAGGAGCCATGTGCCGGCCAGCCGCCCGGACCAGCCCTCGCTGTTTGGGAGTGTCCCCTCACAGCCCAGATGCCTCCTGGGAGCCTCTCAGCTGCGGCACGTCCTTGCTCAGGGGCTGGGGTCGGGGGAAGCTGAGCTCCTGTCTGCACCCCTGCCACCCCTCTCTCGGGATGCGGTCTTTGACGTGTCCCCTGCACCCTTGGTCTGCGTGGGAGCAGCAGGGGCAGAAAGGAGCTGGCAGTGGCCTCCTGGGGACGTGGAGCTGCTCTCCCTCCTTCCTGGGGGCTGGGCCCGAGGGGCCTGTCTCCTCCCAGGGCTGTCCCCAAGCACACTTCAGGGACCCTTTCCCAGCACTCCGTGCCTCCCAGAAGTTGCCAGTGCAGAGGGAAGGCAGCCTTAGACCAAGAGTTTCCCCTGCCGTCTCCGCAGCGCCCCTGGAGCAGGAGCCGCAGCCCCTTCCCCGCCTGGGGGAGCTGACCGTGGACGAGGAGACCCCAGACTCGCTGCGCCTGTCGTGGACGGTGGCCCAGGGCCCCTTTGACTCCTTTGTGGTCCAGTACAAGGACAAAAACGGGCAGCCCCGGTTGGTGCCTGTGGCCGCAGACCAGCATGAGGTCTCCGTAGAGGACCTGGGGCCTGGCAGGAGATACAAGTTCCTGCTCTATGGGCTCCTCAGAGGAAAACGCCTGGGCCCCGTGTCTGTCCTGGGAATGACAGGTGAGGCTGTCCTGCTCCGCTCCAGCAGGCTGGCCCGAGTGGCTTTCCTTGTGCCTGTGGACAGAGGACAAAAGGACTGGCATGCGATGGGGGCCCCTGGCCAGGGCCCAGGAGGGAGGAAGAGCTTGAGTTTGCAGCCCTGGGCTCTGACCTCGGTTGGGAGTCAGGGCAGGGGCTAGAACAGGTCTCCCAAGCCCTCTTCTCTGCTCCACGCCCATCACCCGCTGGGGCGGCTGCTACCTCCCAGCAGGGTGGCCTTGCCCAGATGGGGGCAAACAGCCCTGCCATGAATGAGTCAGGAGCATTTTCTCAAGTGGAAAATCACTGGAAAACACAATGGGCGTGGGACACAAACCGGTAGAAGTGACTGTATTCACGGTACAGGCTCCTCTTCCAGGGCTGCTGACGCCCACCTCAGACCAGCCGACCAGGGCGCGTGGCCCGGCTGGTGTGATTTGCTGTCCGTTCACCCGCCAGTCCTTTTCTCAGAGGGGAGCGCCCCACGCCCCAGCTGGGCGGATGCGTCCCAGGCGGAGGGGCGGGGCAGGGCCTGTGCTGACATCTAGAGGTGGGCCTGGCTGGGGTGCAGAAGGGGCAGCAATGCAGCAGCCACGCAGGAGACAGGCCACAATGCTGGGGCTCAGAGGCCCCAGGGTGCAGGAGCCAGTGCCAAGACTCAGGAGAGGGAAGATACTAGAAGACCTAGGTCCCTTCTGTCTCTCCAAATGGCTGCTGTGGCCAGGACCTGTAAAGTCCCACCTCAGCCTTGGGGCAACCCCACAACCCCCTCTTTGGGGAGCAAGTTGGAAAGGGAGCCCAGCTTGGTGGCACATGCCTATGTCCCTGTGACAGGAGGTGGAGGCTTGGGCCCAGGAGTCTGGCCTGGGCAACATACCATTTCTAAAACATTAAAAAAAAAAAAAAATAGCCAGATGCAGTGGCACACATCTGTAGTCCCAGCAACTTGGGAAGCAAAGGTGGGAGGATCACTAGAGGCCAGAAGTTCAAGACCAACCTGGGCAACATAGCAAGACCCTGTTTCTACAAAGAAACAAAGAAAAAATAGAAAGAGGAGGGCTCCAAGGCACCATCCCCGTCAGCTTCTCCCCTGGGCTTCTCCCACATAGCCCCAGAAGAGGACGCACCAGGGCCAGAGCCCCCCAAGGCCCCCGAAGAGCCCCGCCTAGGGGTGCTGGCAGTGACTGACACAGCCCCAGACTCTATACGCCTCTCGTGGACTGTGGCACGGGGGCCCTTTGATTCCTTCGTGGTCCAGTATGAGGACACAGACGGGCAGCCCCAGGCCTTGCTCGTGGACGGTGACCAGAGCAAGGTCCTCGTCTCAGGCCTGGAGCCCAGCACCCCCTACAAGTTCTTCCTCTATGGCCTGCGCGCAGGGCAGCGCCTGGGGCCCGTCGCCACCGAGGGCACCACAGGTACCGCCGGGCCTTGCTGGCCACTAGTCTGGGGCTGGGGGTGCCCAGAGGTGGTGGTGACTGGGAAAGAGCATACCAAGGAGGGCAGCAGGTGGACGGCACCTGAGCCACCCTGGCTCTGCTGCAGCGGGGCCTCTGCCTGTGGCTGCCAGTGCCTCCCTCGTTGCCTTCACTCGTGGAGAAGTGGGGGCCAGGCTGGGGCGGCAGAAGGGACCCACCCTAGGTCCCTGAGCTGGTGTGCTTCTGTCTCCAAACCCTTCCCTCCCACCCACTCTGTACAGGGCCGGCTCCTGCTGGTCAGACGCCAGGGGAGCCAGGGCCCCGCCTGTCCCAGCTCTCCGTGACCGATGTGACCACCAGTTCAGTGAGGCTCAACTGGGAAGCCCCCCCTGGGGCCTTCGACTCCTTCCTGCTCCGATTTGGGGTCCCGTCACCCAGCACCCTGCAGCCACGCCCGCGTCCTCCCCTGCAGCGGGAGCTGGCGGTGCCAGGGACACGGCGCTCAGCTGTGCTCCGGGACCTGCGTCCGGGGACCCTGTACAGCCTGACGCTGTACGGGCTGCGCGGGCCGCACAAGGCGGACAGCATTCAGGGCTCCGCCCACACCCTCAGCCCAGGTGAGGCCACCAGGGCTGGCACACTCTGCCCCAGAGTGGGTCTTTGTGCTGTGCAGGGCAGGCCCGTTGCCCAGCCAGAGGGGAGGCTGGTGATTGGGGGAGGGCTTGGAGGAACCTGCCAGCGACCTTCACTCCTGGGGGCTGGAGAGAGGAAGGGTGAGCCTGCCTGGAGCAGGTGGGGCCCCTGCAGTAGGAACCTCCCTACCGCTGCCCTCACCCTTGTTTCCTCCCCCCAGTTCTGGAGAGCCCCCAAGATCTCCAGTTCAGCGAAATTGGGGAGACCTTAGCCAAGGTCAGCTGGATGCCCCCACCATCCAGGGTGGACAGCTTCAAAGTCTCCTACCAGCTGGCGGATGGAGGTGACACCTTTTTGCCCATGCCCTCGTTTGCTGCATTTCTCCTGCCCCCTGCACTCTGCCCACCCTCCAGCCACTCTGGGGTTCCATGGGTAACCCAACCCCAACGTGTTTCCAGGGGAGCCACAGAGCGTGCAGGTGGACGGCCGGACCTGGACCCAGACACTCCAGGGGCTGACCCCAGGTGCTCGCTACGCGGTGACTGTGGTCTCCGTCCGTGGCTTTGAGGAGAGTGAGCCTCTCACAGGCTTCCTCACTACGGGTGAGACAGACCGGGTCGGCAAGGGTGGGGGGAGAGGGAATGGGGAGGAGGCCTTGGAGCTGGGGGAGGTAAGGGGCAGGAGAGTGCGAGGACACCTCCAAGCCCCCCATTCTCCCAGTTCCTGATGGCCCCACCCAGCTGCGTGCACTGAACTTGACCGAGGACTCCGCCTTGCTGCACTGGAAGCCCCCCCAGAATCCCGTGGACACATACGACGTCAGGGTTACGGCCCCTGGGGGTGAGCAGGGCTGAGACCTGGAGGGGACTCCGTGGTTCAGGGCGGGGAGTGCGGGGGCAGGACGTGCAGGGGCAGGTGGTGACCCCCACCTGCACTCCCAGCCCCGCCTGTGCAGGGCTCGGCCCCGGGCAGCGTGGAAGACTACTTGCTGCACCGCCTCCTGCCCCACACCAACTACACGGCGACCGTGCAGGGCCTTCGGGGCCCCAACCTCACCTCCCCGGCCAGCATTACCTTCACCACAGGTAGGCCGGTGGGCTGTGTGGGGTGGGGAGAGGGGGAAGGAAACCAGGGTGGCCTCATCCCCATCTCCTCTTCCCACTTTCCCTCCCAGGGCTAGAGGCCCCCCAGGACTTGGAGGCCAAGGAAGTGACCCCCCGCACGGCCCTGCTCACTTGGACTGAGCCCCAAGTCCCGCCCACAGGCTACCTGCTCAGCTTTGACACACCTGGGGGACAGACCCAGGTGCCTGGCTCCCACCCCGCTGACCAACTCCCTCCTGGGCTGATCCCAGGAGGTGCCTCTGGCTCTCCCGGGGGTGGGTCTCCACCTGCCTCTGCCCTGACCTGCCCCTTGTCTGTCCCACAGGAGATCCTGCTCCCCAGAGGGGTCACCTCTCACCAGCTCCTTGGCCTCTTTCCCTCCACCCCCTACAGCGCACAGCTCCGGGCCATGTGGGGCGAGAGCCTCACGCCGCCCGTGTCCACCTCCTTCGCCACGGGTACCTGGACGCTGGGCCTGAGGTCAGGGGCTGGGTGGCAGCAGGGGCCTAAGGTTTGGATGAAGGACTGGCCTGTCACTCTCCTCTCCCTAGGTGGACTGCAGATCCCCTTCCCCAGGGACTGTGGGGAGGAGATGCAGAACGGGGCCAGCACCTCGAGGCCCACCACCATCTTTCTCAGCGGCAACCGCGAGCAGCCCCTGAACGTGTTTTGCGACATGGAGACTGATGGCGGCGGCTGGCTGGTGGGTGGCATCGGGAAGCCTGGGGCCTGTGCAGGGCAGGGGCTGCTGCTCCAGGACACAGAGGCTAATGGTGCCCCACCTGCTCCCCAGGTGTTCCAGCGCCGTGTAGACGGACAGACCGACTTCTGGAGGGACTGGGAAGAGTATGCCCATGGTTTTGGGAACATCTCCGGGGAGTTCTGGCTGGGTCCGTGCCCCACCGGGATTGGGGAGCTAGGGAGGGGCCGGGCCTGTGGACAGCAGGGCGCTGATGAGGACACACCCCGTCCCCAGGCAACGAGGCCCTGCACAGCCTGACAAAGGCAGGGGACTACTCCATGCGTGTGGACCTGCGGGCTGGAGACGAGGCCGTGTTCGCCCAGTACGACTCCTTCCGAGTGGACTCAGCTGCTGAGTACTACCGCCTCCACCTGGAGGGCTACCACGGCACCGCGGGTAAGGGCAGGCTGCCGGCCGGCGGTGGGCGGGGGTGGGGGGGTGGGGGGGCGGGGGAGGCCCTCATCGCTCCTGCCTCTGTCCTTCCCAGGGGACTCCATGAGCTACCACAGCGGCAGTGTCTTTTCTGCCCGTGACCGAGACCCCAACAACTTGCTCATCTCCTGCGCTGTCTCCTACCGAGGGGCCTGGTGGTACAGGAACTGCCACTATGCCAACCTCAACGGGCTCTACGGGAGCACAGTGGACCACCAGGTGAGCGCGGCAGGCAGGTGCCGGAGCTGGGGCACCCTGTGGCAGGATGGGACGGGGCCCAGCCCGGAGCCTCAGGCTCCTTATCTGTGAAGTGGAATCATGACTCCGGCCTCAAGTTATCTTGAGAGGGTTTATTGGCTGGACGGGCCGGCTCAGGACCCAGCCCCAGTCCTGCGGCTGAGGCTAGGCAGGCAGCGAGGAGGGAGGTTGCCGGGTGCGGGGCCGCCTCCAGAGGGCAGTGTGGGGCAGCTGCTGCTGGGCTTTGACGCTTGACACCCCTTTCCCAGGGAGTGAGCTGGTACTCCTGGAAGGGCTTCGAGTTCTCCGTGCCCTTCACGGAAATGAAGCTGAGACCAAGAAGCTTTCGGTCCCCAGCAGGAGGAGGCTGAGCTGCTGCCCGCCTCTCGCACCCCAGTGTGACTGCCGAGCACCGAGGGGTGGCCCAGGGAAGAGCCAGGGCCCGCCTTCGCCGCCCGGCCACCAGAGGAGCCTTCTCTGCCAGCGATCTCACAGCACCACGTTTACAGCGCGGAGGGGAGGGTTTTGTATGGGAGCAATAAAAGAGAAACTGAGGCACATGGCTGGCACTGGTCCTGCCCTGTCACTAGCGCTTGCCCAAGTTGGGGCCACCCATCCCCCGGGGCTGCAGCCACACCTGGAAAGGCCGAATCTCGAGGTTAAGGCTGAAGTAGGGCTGGGGCTGCAGGGAGGGCAGGGCGCCCACGGGCAGCAGCGTGAAGGCCTGCAGCAGCCGGGCCAGCACCACAAAGAGCTCCAGGCGCGCCAGCGGCTCGCCCAGGCACAGGCGGGCCCCGCACCCGAACACCAGCGTTCTGGGGCTCTTGCCTGGCTGCAGGAAGCGGTCTGTGGGCAGGTGGACAGACAGGGTGGGGGGCGTTCAATGGCCCCCAGGACCAGCCTCCACCACCCCCACGCACAGGCCTCCAGCCCCCCACATACCTGGCCAGAACTCATGTGCCCGCTCCCAGACTGTGTCGTCGAGGTGGGCACCTTGGAGGTTGGGGATGACAACTGTGCCCTCGGGGATGTCATAGCCGAAGATGCTGAAGGAGGGTGGAGTTAGAGGCTGGCCTGGACCTGGCTGGGCTCAGGCCTCCCTCACCCACCCCTCGGGAGTCACCTGCTGGGCTGTGTGGTGCGGTGGGGCAAGGCCAAGGGCACAACGGGCCGCAGGCGCAGCACCTCAGCAATGGTGGCATTGAGCAAGGGCAGCCGCTCGCGGTCCTTGTAGGAGACCCAGGAGCCAGAGGCACTGGGGCCCAGTTCAAGGTCTAGCTCCTCCTGCAGTCGCCGCTGAATCTGGGAAGTGGGGACGCCCAGGGTCTGAGCCCTGCCCAGCCAGCCCCCAGCTGCCCAGCCATCCAGTGGAGCCTTTGTGCCAATTAGGAGAGGTGCCACCTCTGGGCAAGCACAGCCTGACTCAGGTGCAGTGCCCAGAGCCGAGCCAGCTGGGTCCCCCCAGGCTTCCAGGAAGGAGATTTTGCCTGCCCCAGGGCACACCTCAGGGTGGTGAAGCAAGAAGGCCACAGCCCAGGAGAGGGTGGTCGCCGTGGTCTCAGTGCCACCTATAAGAAGGTCCACCACAGACATGTGCACATGCCCTTCAAGGAGCTGTCCAGGGCTCTCTTCCACTCTGGGCAGGGCCACCTCTTGGAGCATGTAGTCTATCATGTCCCTCCACTGGCCTGCCACCAGGCTCTCCTGCAGAGGGCGGGAGGGGCAGACTGAGGGCCCGGGGAGAGGGCTGTGGGATGCAACAGGCCCAGGGCTGGGGAGGCAGGGGCCTGTCTCGCAGCGATGCTGGGGCCAGGTGCATCGTTGGCCATGGCCGAGGAGGGCCAGTCCACACACAGTGCCCACCTTGTGCCACCTCAGCTGCTTCTCTACGAAATGGTCCCTCTTCTCCATGGCCTGCTTCAGCCTCCGAAGACTTGGATTAGGGAAGAACTAAGGCAGGAAGCAAGAGAGCAGAGCTGCGGGGAGCCCGCTCCAACCCCGCCCCTTCTCCCAGGACCCAGGTTGCCTGGGCGCCACCTCCTCACCCTGAGAAAGGGAATTATGTCCACAATTTGGGTGGCCCAGTGGTCCCAGAGTGTCATCACCTCCTGAACACAGTCATGAAAGGTATGTAACAAGTTGTCCTGCCAGGAAAGGAGGGAACATTTTCAGCTCAGGAGAGGGCTGGGGAGGGGCTGAGGGTGGGCCTGAGGGGCTATGAGCAACCTTGATCTTGTCTCCAAAGATGAGGTAACAGATGATGCTGCAGGTGAGGAAAGAGAATTCCTTCTGGATGGCCACAGGGGTGCTGGCCTGTGCTCTCAGGCGCTGAGAAGGGAAGGGGCAGGAGCTGAGCGGGCAGGGCAGGGGCTGCCAGAGAGGTGCAGCTGGCCTGCGGCGGCAGTGGAAGCCTGGCCTCACCTCGAGGAACTCCTGGGTCAGCCGCTCCATCACGGGCTCCATGGAGCTGCGAATGCCCAGCAATAGGGCTGAGCGGGTAAGTTTCTTGTGGGCCTTCCAGAGCAGGGAGTAGTCCCCTAGGGACAGGTCCGGGTAGCCCTGAGACGCCAGCTTGTCTGCGTGAGGGCAGAGGGTGGAGGGTGAACACCGACCAAGGAAGCCAGGGCCCTGACCTCCTCCTGCCCCCCCAGCCCCTGCTGCTCCCCCAGGACACCCGGGCCCTTACAGGACAGCATCTCGGGTCTGCCGGCAAAGTCCACCCACTTTCTGACCATGGCTTCTTCAATGGTCCTCTTGGAGTTCAGCACCACCACTTCTGGGGGACAGCCAGAGCAGGGCGTCAGCCGGGGGGAACCCTGCTGCCCTCCGTGGCAGGCCGAGAGAGAGAAGGCACTCACCCTGCAGCCCGAGGCGCAGCCTGTAGATAGGCCCGAATTTCTGGGTCAGGCCGAGCAGATAGATGGGGAGGTTGGGCCGCAGCAAGTGCAGGAAGCCTGGGGCAAGAGGCGGGAGGTGGAGGCTCCTGCGCTTCCACTGGCCCCACAGCAGGCAGGCGCCGGCCAGCAGGGCCAGCAGGGCCAGCAGCAGCAGCCCGAGTAGCAGCATGGCCAGATACCACGCGAGGCCCTCACAGGTGCTCACAGCTCCAGAGCCCCTGTCGTCCACCCTGCTGCTCAGGCTATTTGGGGGGCTCCCTTGACACCCACCCTCAGGTCCCTTCCCACCGTCCCGCCCACAGCGTGACATATTTCTGGAATGGCACCAGCCCCACCGGCCTTGGGAAGTCCACATTTCAGAAAATGGACCATCCATCAGGCAGGAAGGAAAGGAAATGCAACCCTGACCTTTTCTCTGGCAGCCGGAATCATCTTTCTGGCTCTGCATCAGCCGTGCGGGCAGATGTGCCCACCCCTGCCTGGGCCTCCCTGTGCGCCACCCCGCCCAGGACCAGTTTGTTGGAGTGACGTTTGTCTCTGAGAGAAAGGGCCGCCCTGCCTAGCACGCGCTTCAGGATTGCCTGAAGAACAGAGCGCAGCGGAGGAGGGGACTTGCACAGGGCTTCTGCTTGTTTGCTTTTAACTGACAGATAGCCTGACCACATGGCCTGGCTGGCCTCGGGCCTCCAGTACACACCTGTAGTTCCAGGGCAACTCTTTTTTGTTTTGTTTTGGGTTTTTTTGTTTGTTTTTTTTGTTGTTGTTGTTTTGAGACAGAGTCTCACTCTCTTGGCCTGGCTAGAGTGCCATGGCATGAGCTTAGTTCACAGCAACCTCAAACTCCTGGGCTCAAGCAATCCTCCCGAGTAGCTGGGACAACAGGCATGTGCCACCATGCCCGACTAATTCTTTCTATATATTTTTAGTTGGCCAATTAATTTCTTTCTATTTTTAGTAGAGACGGCGTCTCGCTCTTGCTCAGGCTGTTTCAAACTCCTGAACTTGAGATCCACCCGCCTCAGCCTCCCAGAGTGCTAGGATTACAGGCGTGAGCCACTGCGCCCAGCCCCAGGGCAACTCTTAATAGTGTCCCTTCACTCCCACAAGTGTCCAGAAGACCAAGAAACACATGGTCTCCCATCTGTTTGGAGCACTTGCTATTGTCAGACACTGCTCTAAGCTCTGCCCGTGCTCAGTCGACGCTTCGCGGCCGCACTATACATGCAACACTGGTCTTGTCCCCGCTTCATGGATGAAGAAACAGAGGCAGGAGCGGCTCACCCAAGAGCACAGCTAGAAAGCGGCAGATCCAGGATTCCAGCCCGGCAATCTGGCTGCAGAATCTATACCTTTAGTCATTAGGGGCTCCTCTCTTTGGGTACAAGGACAAGAGACCAACTTGTGCTGGTTTGAGGTAAAAATAAGAATGGTTATACAAATGCAAGGGTATTTCACAGAACTCAGGCACAGGGAAGTAGGGGAGAGGACTCACTGGACTTAGAAGGCCAGGGACGAGGAAAAGAAAAAGCCCTAGAGATGGGCTGTTGCTCTCTGTCCGCCTTCACGTCCTCGCTGCAGTCAAGTTCTTTGCGCTTCCAGGCGCAGGCAGAGCCGAACTGCCTCCAAGACCAGAGTCCGGCCTGGGGACAGTGTACATTCCCAGCACAACTGGGCATGACCCCATCAATTCCAAAGACCCCAGGAAGGAGCTTGATTGCCACAGGTAGGTCAGGATCAGGGGTCCAACCCTATTTTGGAAGCCATAGCCATAAGGGGGTGGGTCCCACTGGAGCAAGTGGCTATCAGGGACCACTTTTGTGGGTAAGGAGGCAGTTGAGGGGCTTAGGGAGAGACCATGACAAAGATGGGTGGCAGGGCTCAGTGAGAAGCCGGGGCCTCCCGGGCGGTTGGAGGGGGCCCAAGGCCCATGCTGCCCCCCAGCTCTCCATCTCTGGCTCTGTAAACAGAGCCAGTGTCCAGGAGGGTCCCTACGCCCTCAGAGCTTCACCCAGAACACAGGATGTGCTGCTGGAGAGCCCACGTCAAGACCCTGCCCGTGCCACACACTAGACCAGGGGTCCTCAAACTTTTTAAACAGGGGGCCAGTCCATTGTCCCTCAGACCGTTGGAGGGCCGTTGGAGAGTGCGGTGCACATTCCACACATGCGCACTGTGGGCCTGGACGAGTCCTGCTAAGCAGGACAGGCAGCGGCAGCAAAAACACCCGGCGGGCCAGATAAATGTCCTCGGCGGGCCCCATGTAGCCCGCGGGCCATAGTTTGAGGACGCCTGCGCTAGATTGATGAGTTCACTGCTGAGGTCCTGGTGGAAGAGGCTCAGCTCAGCCCAGATGTACACCTGGGACTGGAAGGGAGAAAACAGGATTGGGATTTCTGGGGTTGGCAGTGATGGCTGCTACCTTCTTTGTGGTAGACCTCCCAGACCATGTCTTGCCACAGCTGCAACTGAAAACCTGGCTCTGGCAAATGCGTTTATGTCACCACCATGCTGACTGGCTTTTGGGACAAAGATCTGATGGGCAACCGCAGGGCCACGTAGGCAAGAGCCCCAGGAAATCTCTGAAATACTGGGAACGGTCAGAACTTCTCAAAGTTGCGTGGAGTAAGAGGGAGCTCAATTTGAAAGGAGAGTGGCCTGGAAGGCTGGCGTGCTTGTGGATCTCCATTCATAAATCAACTCCAATTTCCTGGCCACACCCATGTCCTGCAGCCCTCTACCAAATCCAAGTTCCAAACACGATGAATTACGTGCAGTGCCCCAGATGTGCTGTCTTGCCCCTGGCCTCTGGGCCGTGTATGTTCTCCTTCTGCCTCAAATGCCTTCATCTACCCCCACTTCTTTCCTCCTTCTCAGCCTTCAGAACCCCAGCTTAGATGCCACCTCCTCCAGGAAGCCTTTTCCACCCCTTCTGGCACTGCCCCTGACTGGGCTAGAGGCCCCACAGAACTATGCAATCTCGGACGTCACACCTTTCACGGAGGGCGGGGACTGCCCGTCCTCATCTCTCCCAGTGGCAAGGCCCTGGAGCCAGGTGGCAGCTGTATCTCTGGCACTTGGCACAGGGCATGGCATGGAACGAGAGTTGCATCAATTTCTATTGAGTGATTGAATGGCAGGCTGCTGAACTGCCATGGTTTCCATCAAATCTAATCTCAGTTAACTTCTTTGGACAGATTTCTAGGTCCCCCTGCACACCCTAGAGGTGCCGCCAAATGAGGGAAAGTGAGGCAGGCATGGTGGTGAGGGTAGACCCCAGCAGATCAACAGCTTCCTCAGTGTATTAACAAAGTCAGACTTTTGGCTTGTTTAAAATCAGCACTTGAGGCCAGGCGTGGTGGCTCACACCTGTAATCCTAGCACTCTGAGAGACCAAGGTGGGAGGATTGCTCAAGGTCAGGAGTTCGAAACCAGCTTGAGCAAGAGTGAGACCCTGTCTCTACTAAAAATAGAAAGAAATTAATTGGCCAACTAAAATTACATACAAAAAATTAGCTGGGCACGGTGGCGCATGCCTGTAGTCCCAGCTACTCAGGAGGCTGAAGCAGAAGGATTACTTGAGTCCAGGAGTTTGAGGTTACTGTGAGCTAGGCTGACGCCACGGCACTCTAGCCATGGGCAATAGATTGAGACTCTGTCTCAAAAAATAAAAATAAAAAAAATAAAAAAACAAAATCAGCACTTAGATGAAGACATCATCCGTCCTAAGGATTGCACAACTCTGGAAAAATTACCTAATACCATTGATAACAGGGTCAAGTGTCAGCTGACCAGGATTCACCTAAAAGGAACAGACCCCAGCAGTGCCAGCTGTGTGAGGACAGAGTGGGGCCATGTGGCTGGGTGGCAGCTCATAAGGCAGAAGAGCCGTCAGCTGAGCACAGCCCTGCCTGAGGCCACAGCAACTGGTGACAGCGGGGCAATGGAAGGCCTTGGAAGCACACTACAGGGAGGCCTCAGTGTACACTCTGGTCCTCAGTGTGCAGGCTGTTGGGTCCCAGTTCTGCTCTGGGTAGTCCGTGGACTAAGCTCCTAGGGGTGGCACTCGGGAGTTTAGGCGGAAGTAGACTGTCCCAGGTTATCCAGGCTCTGAGGGTCTAAGAGGGAGCACAAAGAGCCTGGTCCCCAAAACTGGAATGGGCAGTGGGGCACAACAAGTGTGCCCTCCCATTGGGGCACAATGGGAGACAACATCGACACTGCTGCAGAAGGCCTTTATTATGACTCGGACCCTGTCCCGCGGCTGTGTTCAGGGGACCAGGCTCCTCCTGGGGAAGGTGGGAGGCAGCCTCACACCTGGCAGCCCTGAGTGCGGTAGTCCTGGAGGAAGTCTCTGAGCTGGGCACAGGCTGCCCGCTGTCGGCTGGTCTGGCACAGGCGCTCGGAGGGCATCTCCTCGATCCAGCTATTCGAGTCCAGCAGGTACTGGGGACTGCAGGGGCAATGGGGGCCAGCAGGGGTCAGGAGGACGGCAGGCAGAGCAGAGAGGAAGACCTAGCTCTGAGGGGTGGGGCCGAGGCATGGGGGTTTGCTCCCTCAGGAAGGTGGCGAGGCGACCAGAACACTCACTCTCCGTTGAGGTCATGTGTGGCCCCGTCCAGACCCATGATCAGATATTCTTTTCCAGGCTCCAAGTGCAGGCGGCAAGAGGCTCGCACCAGGAAGTTGCGGGTCTGATCAGCAGCGGCCTTGACATCCTTGGCTGAGAAATAGCGTGGGCCAGAGCCGTAAGCGGGAGGCGGTGCACAGTGGCGCAGGCCCAGGGCTCTGCGTAACCCTCTCATTTAACCTTCGACACCCCTACAAGAGGCACTACTGCACCCCTATTTAGGGGCAGGCCTAGGGTGTCTGAGAGGCTGAGGGGATCTGCGCTCAGACTTGTCTGGGTTTTCACAGCCCCAAGTGGTGGGCCCCAAACCAGACCTCAGCCTCCCTGTCTGCCCCCACCCCGCCCCTCTGGCTCCCTCCATACTGAAGTGCAGGACTTGGGTGATCTTGGTCTCAAAGAGGCGGAAGGCAGCTCTGCTATCTTCTCGGAGAACCTTAACCTGGAAGCCTAAGGGGTTAGGAGAAGAGGGGAAGGTTGAGAGGCCCAGCGGCTGAGAGGGCTGGAAGGTGGTGTCAGGCTGCCTGTGGCCTGAGAGGAACAGGCAGACCCAGGAAGACCAAAACAGCTGGTCCCGAGGGCGGTCGGGCGGCCAGCAGGGAGACTGACCGTACTCCACGCGGGGGTAGTAGCAGGCGAACTTCATCCTGTAACCATCCTCCTCCTGCAGCCCCCGCTCCAGGGTGCGACGCTGGCGGGGGCACTTCCCTGAAGTTGGGGGCCCAGGTAAGACAGTGCTTAGGCCCCAACCGTGCCGTCTCCCCACTCCAGCCCCAGGCCCCAGTCTCACCCTCAGCACACTGGCAAATGTCAGCGGAGCACAAGGTAGACAGGAGTTTGCTCTTACTTGGAGCCCCATAAAACACGGAACATCTGTGCTCTAGGGAAGAGCAGAGAGGAGTTAAGGCGTGAGCAGAGAGGAGTTAAGGCGCATGCTGCTCCTCTCTGCCTCCTCAGTCCCATGGAGTCCCAGGGCTCCAGCCACCCTTCACTGCCCCAGTTCCTGATATCCTGTAGGAGGGCACCTACACCGAACCTCCCCAGAATGCCAGAGCGCTCACCGGGGTTGTAGTAGTCATACAGGGCCGCGCTGGCCGGCTGCACCAGCCCCACAGCCACCTCCTGCACGGCTCCAAAGCCCACGCACTCCCGGGAAGTGGGGACCTGGGACGAGGTGGGGAGGAGAGATCAGGGGCCCACTCCCTGGCCCACCTGCTGCTGTGCTGATTTCCTTGGCCTGCTTCTGTTGGGTCTCATTGGTCTTATCGCCTGTGCCTTCACATTCTGTTACCTTCCTGTTGATAGAGCTCTAAAAGCTGCTACCCAAGGTCTCTGATGACCTCACTGCCCAGATGGTGACCTTGCCCCAGCCTTCACTGCCCAGGTCCTCTGCAGAGTCTTGCATCATGAACATACTCTCTGCGAAACTTCCCGAAGCTGAGGGTTAGCTTCCGGGCTGCCCCAGCTCTGACCTGGTATTGCTCACACTCTCTCCTCCCTTCCCTTCCTCTGCACTTCCCATGGGGGTCTCAACCACGCCCCGGCTCCCACCACGCCCATCCAGGCTGGAGTTTTCCAAACTGAGCTTTCAGCCCCATCCTTGCATTAGGATTTTGGCAGGACTTCCAAGTTCTCCAATGCACTCTGCTGCACCCCGAACCCACTCACCCTCCTGACTGCCTTGTCTCTGTCATGGATACCATCGGGTCCTTTTATTTGCCGTGACCTAACAGCAGGTTCCACCACCCCGTGTGAGCCAGGCACCCAGGTCCTAGGCCTGACTCCTGTCTCACAGCCATGAAGCCCCAGCCCAGCCCAGCACCCAGCAGGGTCACTCATATGCTGGGCCCTCGCACTGTCAGCTCCCTGCCCACGAAGATTTCTAGCTCCACACGCTCCGTCCTGTGTTGACCCCGAATCCTCTGCCTGGCTTCTCTAGCTGATGGGGGCAGCCCCTCTGCAGGCCCAGGCCAGGGGCATCTTCCTGACTCACAAACACCTGGCTAACGCTGGCCACCATGCCTTTCTCACATTTTCTCCCAGATGTTACAGTAAATGTTCAACATATGTTTTGAGGGCCATCAATGGTTGATAACTGTTGTAGCCAAATAAGGCCATGAAAAGACAATCCAACTGCCATCGATAGCCACCATTACTCTGTAAAGCAAAATACACTTTAATATTTTTTAAAAAACTAGGATGCTCAACAAAAAAACAGAGGCAGCCCCTCAAGTGGAATAAAAGCTGCTTTATGGCCAAGCGCGGTGGCTCACGCCTGTCATCCTAGCACTCTAGGAGGCCAAATGGGAGGCTTACTCGAGGTCAGGAGTTTGAAACCAGCCTGAGCAAGAGCGAGACCCTGTCTCTACCAAAAATAAAAGGAAATTAATTGGCCAACTAAAAATATATCAAAAAAATTAGCCGGGCATGGTGGCACATGCTTAGTCCCACTACCAGGAGC